TAGGTAAGGTTTGTACTCACCTGTTTCGTGTGTAATCAGTCCACAATCACACTTGTCTCGCCTACCATTAGAAAATTATTTATCCTGCTTCACAGTACTCTCCTCATTAGAATAGGGTCCTAGATTGACTTTTCTAGACCAGTTATTTTAGGTTGCTTAATTGTTTTTATCTAGCTTTAGTAAATCTAACCTTTTAATCTGTACCTTTTTAACAATTTAATTAATTAATTAATTAATCATAGATTTTAATAAAATTTTGAAGAAATAATTATGCAACCGTGATTAATTATTAATTAATTATACTTAACTAATTAATAATTGTTGTTCTTAAAATATAAATCACCTTTAATTATTATTAATTAAATATAATTAAGTAAACATTTAATTAGGAATTCTTAAATTGTTAACTAATTATGATTAATTATTAATTAATAACTAACACCTTTAAAATCAATTATTTCAAATCATTATTAATTAATTGTGAGTGGATAATTAATTAATAATTACTTAAATAAATCATTTCCTTAAAATAACAATTAGTTGTTCAAAATAATCAACTAAATCCTAACTTAATAATTATTTAGAAAAAATGAATTCAAATAGTTTCTTTTTCCTTTCTTTTAAGAAAAATATTTTCTTGATTCGTTAATTATTTAATTTATTTATGAAATAAATTAATTGCTTTACTTCATCATAAACGTGGATTCTAAGAAGCCGTTCATCTTTTTAGGTTGACACTATAGTCGTTAAAGAGGACTCAATAAACCATGAAGATTTTTTCTTAACTTGTGGTCTTTTGAAAATTAGTATTGGGCCTTAGGCCCAATCTTTGAGACTTTAGAGTTGTCATTTCTACACTAAGTGAACTTTATCGATTTGGGCATTTAGAGACCCAATTCTGATTCTGCTTGGACTCAAACCCTCTAAGTTTAAATTTAATCTTAAAATCAACTCTTATATAGATCTAAGTCGTAGAAATACGGTGGGTATGGTTGAATTTCCTTTTTACCCTTAACGGTGGTAAAAATAGACACTTTTACCCCTATAAGGGCCTACTGGGTTTCAGACTCTAATATAAGTCCTTAACTCACTCAAAATATTTATTTGGGTTTAAGAAGCATTTTCACACATATCTAAAACCCCCATTTCACATAAGGTTTGTTAATTTGTAAAGTGGTCCCGATTTTACAACTTTTACAGTCTTAGACCTCATACCGAGTAACTAGCTTATAAGAAGTTTAATCCTTTGGTTTTCTCTCATTTGGGACAGTGGAAAAAAAACATACTAAACAACCCCTAAATATTCATAACTTCAGCAAATGCAACTTAGCACTTTAGACTCTCTATTTTTTTCTAATTTTTCAATAACGATCATCTAAACTCAAAATCACGTTTTCGGGTTCGTTTCTACTCCATTTATTCTCAAATTTTAACACAAGTGTCCTTAGATTTCATATCAACTACCATTAAAACAGTTTTACCAGATTCAATTCATAACTCATCCTATTTGACAACTTAGTCTCGGGTTGCTGCAAAAATTTTCTGTTTCTATACCTAGATTCAAAAATTCATAATAAATTGTACAAAACTCGTATTGGGGTCTATGATATCTCGTTAGAAAGCTTATGATGTCTAATTTCTACCCCTAAAATATCAAGGTCATAGTAAAAAGACCGCGAACTTCTCTAGCATGGCAGCATTTCACCGAGGAGCCCCAACCAAATCCAAAAACAGGTGAGATGGAAATTCGTGCGGTATGTAAATATTATAAAAAGTACTTTTCTAATAAAAGGGGTGGGGGTACTAGTCATCTGGATAGACATTGAAAAATATGTCTACCGTTGCACCAAGGTGGGAGTGTGGACTCCCGCCAACAAACACTATCACTCACATCACATGGGTTACAAAATTTTACATACGATGCACAACGTGCTCGTGAGGCACTAGCTAAATTTCTAGCTAGTGCCGAATTGCCTCTTTCTTTTGCAGATGATGCCTCCTTCAAAGAATTCATCCAGACAGCCTTTTACCCACAATTTAAACGGGTAAGTAGAAACATAACTCGTTCTGATTGCATGAAAGTTTTTTATGCAATGAGACAATCTCTTGTTGATAATTTTAGGACTTTTAATGCTACTGTGTCTTGCACTTCTGATCTATGGGAGGGGTATAATAAAACTGGATATTTATGTGTCGCAACGTACTACGTTGATGACGATTGGGTTTTACAAAAAAGAATAATTGGTTTTCATTTATGTCCATATCCTCATAACGCAACAGCTATTTTCAGTACAATAATAGAAATTTTTGGGTTTTATGGGATAGAAGATAAAGTTTTAACAATTACTTTTGATAATGCGTCAGCTAATACAGCTGCAATTAATCTGTTTAAACGTAGTTTGAAACTGGCATTTGGAGGGGAAATTTTTCATCAACGGTGTGCATGTCACATAATTAATTTAGTAGTTTAGGCAGGAATTGAACATATCTCTGCTAATCTTACAAATATTAGAGAATCATTATCCTTCATATCTAGTTCTGGAGCTCGGCTCCAAGAATTCAAACAATAATGCAAGAACAGCCAAATGAGCCCAAGAAAGTTTCCAACTGACGTGAGACATAGGTGGAATTCAACATATTTAATGTTGAAGGTAGCACTCCCATATTCACAGCTTATCACGACATACTAAATAGTAAGAACGATCAAATTTTAATTTTTGATCCTGATTGGCAGATTGCTGAGTATTTTTTTAAATTTTTAGAAGTTTTTTACAATGCTACTGAATTACTTTCTGGAGTTTATTATCCTACTGCACATTTAGCTTTACATCAACTATTTAATATTTCAGAAACATTTTCTTATTATAGGGATACACAACTTTTTGGAAATATAGTTAATTTAATAGAAAATAAATTTAAAAGTTATTGGTCAGGTTGTCCTATGTTATATGCATTGGCAACCATTTTAGATCCTAGGTGCGGAGTAGATGGAACTGAATCATTGATGACTACTACCGCAGAGAATTTAAAAATAGATATGCAACTAAGTATTACTGACGCTAAGAAAATGTTAGAAAAAGTTTTTAGTTTGTATGAAGCAAAATATAGCACAGGTCAAAAAGAACAGGGAACTTCGTCGTCAACTACCAGTTCGGGGCCTAAAGGATCGTCGTGGAATTTCTTGAAGAAGAAAGAGAAAATGGCAGGATCGTCCTCAACACAAGTGTCTACGGAACTAGTCAAATATTTTGAAGCAAATTTTATAATCGATGACGACAAACTAGACATCTTACAGTGGTGGAAGAGCAAGATAGATCATTTTCCAACACTGTCCATAATAACTCGTGACATTCTGACAACTCCAGTGTCAACGGTAGCATCGGAGCAAGCAACCGAATTCTTGACGAGAAGAGAAGCAGAATGCATCCAGATATCTTGGAGGGACTAATGTGCGTTAAAGACTAGGAAGATGCCAGAAGACGAAAACAATAATACACAGATGATTCGATGTAAGAATATTTTTCTAACTTAGAAATAACAGAATCTTCTGGAAGCACTTAGGTTTGTAATTTACTATTCCTAGCTACTGCACTCTTTTTTCCTTCGCTAAGGTTTTGTCCCGATCTCCCCACGGATTTTACTTAACAAGGTTTTTAATGAGGCAGTCATTTATGTGTACTCCTATTACGTCAATTCAATAAAATCACATATTTTGGGGCATTTGATATTTTTTTTTAATTAAATTTAAAAAAATAAATACAAGGGCCGGGGCCGGCCCGTGAAGGGCCTGGGCCCAGGCCCGGCCCTGGCCCTTATGGACTAGGGCCAAGGGCCTGGACCGGGCCTGAGTTTTTTTTCTCAGGCCCGGCCCAGGCACGGCCCTGCACTGTACAGGGCCGTGCCTGGCACGGCCCAGGCCCGTGATGGGCCTGGGGTCAAGCGTGCCGTGCCGGCCCAGCACGGCACGTTTGACAACACTACCCGACCCTATTCACCTAATAATCATTCCTACTTATTCTCTCCTTTTTGTAACTACTAATAAACTAATAGATATGTATGTATTAGTTATATCAAAAGATAAGGTACACAATATAAAAAATAAAAATAACAATTCAATTATTGTTCGGTTTATATATCCCTATTGATTATTTCATTAATATATACGTGTTTAAGTGGTAGAAGTTCCAAACAAGCATTGAGACTTAAATAGACGCGTGTCTACAACTCAATACTAAATGACAAAAATAAAAAGAGAGAAGCAGATGTCACATAAAAACGAAAAAAAAAAAAAAAAAACACTAAAATCGAGAATAAGCAAGTAGGCCAATTGTTCTATCTTATAAGTTAAATTTTTTTAATACATTTTTTTATTTTATATTAATATTGCCTATGTGGAGATTAAAACAAACAAAAAAAAAAACAAAAAAAGGAAAGAAAGAAAGACACTTATGCGTTTGAGTAACTAAAAAACAGGAACCTTTGAAAGGATAAACCGCATGCCGTTTTTTACTAAAACAACAGTGAACTTCTGAACACAAATAGCAATTAGCATATCATTGAAACAGCAGCAAACTTCCTTAATAAAATAAATAAATAAATAAATAACCTCCAGCAAGCTTTCCCAAAAATAGTTGTATTCTTCTTTCGTCAAGACTCAAGAAGATTCATTAGGAACAAGAACAAGAGTGAATTTCAAGCCAAATATTATGACACTATGAGAAATGAATGAAGTAACATAACTCAATAACTCTATTCGGTTTTCAGTTACACTACTTTGATGTTATTGTATAACCATTGATTATGGCATTCAACAGTGAAACGCACACGTTAATCTTACAAGACTATCTTATAACTTAAAAACTCCTATTTAATCAACTAATTGCAGCAATAATTATTTTAAAATTATGAAACTGCCAACATTTTATTCTCCTTCAAAGAGAGCATCAAAGATCATTTTCAACCAAAAATCTTTTCTCATTCTCAGTCTACAACACAAACACATGAAAGGAGGAACACTTGAAGTACTTCTCGTTAATGCCGAAGGCATTAGGCACACAAATCTTGTTGGTATATATATACTCATTTCTAGTTCTATACATAGTTTTTTTTTTTTTTTTTTTTTTTTACGTGAACAAAGATTTGGAGGAGAAATGTAGCTGATTTATAAATTCCATTATTGTAGGGAGACCGGACTATTTTGTCTTCATAGAGTGTGGAGATCATGTTTATAGAAGCAAAATATCATCAGGTCTTGTTTTTGTTGCTCATTTCTATATATTTTGTCAAGTTCACTGATCCCAATGATCATGTTATGACTTCTAGCTTATCATATTTTGTGTCTTTGTGCAGGTGAAGATGAAAAGACTTGGTGGAATGAGAAGTTCATATATGAATTCCCATTATCTGATTGGAAAAGGTTTACACATATAAAATTCAGAATTATGGACAAGGAACTCTTCTCGGATGGCGGATTTGTTGGTGAAACTATGTAATATTTCTTAATTATGTGTTATATCCTTATTAATCTTTTCCTCGTCTATTCCCGGACTTTATTTTCATTTTGCCCTTAATTTTTAAAAACTCTCATTTCACTACGTCTCCAAACGTTTTATCGTCTCACTTAACTCTCTGTGTCAGAATTCTCATCAAGGACAAACTTAAATGATGCTTTTACCCCCCAACAATGATCTCTCACATTTTTTTTCCAGTTATTTTTAATGAGAATCTAATTCAAAGTTTGGAGTAGTAAAGTACGAGTTATTAAAAATCGGTGGGCATACTAGGAATGAGTGTAAAGTTTAGGAGCATAAATGGGAAAAATTTTAGTCATTGCTATATGTCATCTTAGTTAAGAGAGATTTCAAGTTGTTGTTAGGGCCTAAAATTCTCCAACTTCCTTTTTCACCGCATGTGAACCATTTAGCAGAAGGACAAGATTTAGTGTATGCAGTTGGAGGGAATTCAAATTTCTCATGGTCACATGCATGATAAAGATTTGTTGAACCTCATATCAGTCCCTTAAATCATAATAAACCCTCTAGAAAGGATCAAGAGATCTTCAAATTTGACTAATAATTCTTTTTATTTCAAATAATTTGTTATCTTAAGTAATTATATTCTTTTTCTTCATATACATGCAGAATTTATCTAGGTGGAATAATTACAGAGGGATGTGACAGAGGGTTCCTAGAAGTAAAACCAGCCCCATACAATGTGGTGCTTGAAGATGACACTTACAAAGGACAGATAAAGATAGGATTCAAATTTATTGCAAGTGTAAGACTCATTAGAAATAATGTACCTTTTCTATTCATTCCAAAAATTGAAATTTTTTCTTATATGTAACATTAACAGAATAACCTTTTTTTTAACCATGCAGAAAGATATCGCTCATGTTCCAAAGACAACAACAAGACAGTACACTCAAGAGGAAAATAAAGTGGAGGAATGTAGTAGAATTGTGAACTTATGGAGAATGTTATGGTGGTGGTCCATGTTTTCCCAGAAGAGAATTGACACAGAAAATAAGCAAAACTACAATTAAGAGAATTCATAGATCTTAATAAGGAATAATATGGTATGGAAATTACTTTTTTAACTTTCATTGTGTTGATAAAATATTTCCAAATGTATGAAATGTATTAAGTGTAAGGGACAATCAATTGCCATCTGGGCATTTAGTACACTTTTTATTAGGCCGTCAATGTGCTTAGTGAAGGACGGATTAGGATTTAGGACTGCTTTAGAAACATGATTAAAAGTCATTTCAACATGTTTGGATGGGCATATTCAAACAATTGCCGTTATTGCCTAGACTCTTGAGCAACAATTTGATGAGGGAATAATAGTATATACTTATATATATATATATATACATAATATAATACTATATTATGTTCCATGAAATAAATCAAGGAAATCAAGCTGAATGTAACACTAAAAAGAAATATTTACAAGACATTTCAATCACACTCTTCTTAATGTCGTTTTGCCATTCTTAAATCCATCACATCATTTTAGTCACACAAGATTTGCATCAACACATATTGTGCACGGTAATCCAAAGAAAATTAATGAAATTTCGCTGTGCCTTTATCAACTATAAAGTGGAAATTTTTTTTTTTTTTTTATACTAAGGTGATGTTAGCAGATCATCATGTAAAACCTGCTTTATTTAGATGAGAAATAAAATCACATGAGAAAAAAGTTATAAATATTTATTCATACAACAAGGGAACAATATATGGAAAACAATACACACACACACACATATATATATACAATTTTGCTAGTGAAGAACATCTTAACTAACTCTATTTGGTAAGTACATAGGAAAAACAGGCATGTATAGTATAACTATGAGTTGGAGTTAGGTTCATGCATGCATTTAGTTAGAGAGAAGTATTTGACTTTAATTTTAATTTGCTACGAAAAATGAGCTGCATTGACTGACAAAATGGGATGCACGTCTATATATATCATTATTAGTAGGAGCTGACTGACAATTGTTTTTTATTTTATTTTTTAAATTTTAAATTTAACTAACAAAGATAGGAAGTTAACAATTATTTTCACGGCTTTCACGTGATTTTTCTAACTACTGAAATGCTATTAAATTGTAATTCACGCAACTTACTTATCCTCATGTTCTACTTCCTCGCTTTCCTTTTTCTTTTCTTTTTAATTAATTCTCTCCTTCGCTTTGTATAAAATAGTATGTCTACTTTTCTCATTGAGTTCGAATCAGTCTCACTGTATTAAGCGGGATAGACAATTTCATTTTACGGCTGATTAATATGTCACATGAGGATGCACTTTCTATATTCATATAACCCTTTTAAAAAAAAATCCTCAAAATTGTCAGTGGTGCTACAAGAAATGAAAGTAAATAATAATTTATTTTTGGAAGAAACTAATGTATATTTAGTTTGTTCACCATTTTGGAAGTACTTTTAGGAAGACGAGAAAATGAAAAAAAAAAAATTCTAAAAAAATTTGGGAAAATTTTAACCTTAAAGTTACAATTTCATCTTGTCAAATGACAATATTTCAATAGAACAGGAGATGAATCATGACTCGCATGCATGTTGGGAAGCACAAGCAATATTTTCTCTCTTTTTTTCCCTTTTTATTTTTATTTAACTTCACAAAACCCGACCCTGGTCCCCTCCAAAAACAAAAAAAACAAAAAAAAAAAAACATAACAAAAAAAAAAAAGTTCATCTTGTTTAAGTCAGAGAACTCAGAAAGAGAAAACGATCTTTATTGACTATCAAAAGGCAAAGGAATATTGGACGGTCACGATTGATTTCATCACTTTCCATCAAGAACTTAGATGGTTTTTTCTCATATGATGAACTCACCAGTCTTTGGGTCAAATTTTGCCGACCCAGTAGTTGCACCCTCCAAAGAGAATTTTTTAGAAAATGATATTTTGGAATAATCTTATGTTTTTTTTTTCTCAAACAACATTTTAATTTCTTTTTGCCCACACGTATTGAAAATCATAAGAATTAAATAACATTATCAATAATAATAATAATAATAAGCCAATAGACTCATTATATATTCATGTCCAACTAAGATGCAACTCTCCATGTCGTGGTTTACTTTCTCAAGCACCAAACAAGAATTTCAATCTTCAACTCTTCACGTAATCTTTGTTTTCTGGGACTTTCTTGCTCATTTTCCAGGAAAATTGTGATGTGGCACTTTCCAAATAAAGCTTTTCTCTTTAATAAAGAAAAGTTTTACATTTAGAGTCCAACAGAAACATGCTTATTAGGAGGGAAATTCTTCAAACGGCACTCTTCTTCACCTTCCAATCTCAACTGTTCAAATTCAAATCCAGCCACAATTAAAAGGTAATTCTAATTTTTTTTTTTTAGACCGTTTGCTTTTTCAATAAACCGTTGCCTTCATTTTTTTCAAATTTCAGTTTGTTTGGACCGGAAGAAAGTTATTCCAAGATTGCTTTTCTTTCTTTTATGCCATGAACTTTAGCTACATATGTTCAGTCAATTATTTTAGTTTCTGATATAAGATAACTACCACTAATAAACCCCTTTTTGCTTTTATGTCTAAAAAAGAAAACAAAGAATATTTATGCTTCTTTTTTTTCTTTTTTTTCTGGGAGTTTTCAGTCTTATAAATATATATATATATATATGATGGTCACTTCGTCAGTTTCCCGGGTATTGTTTAGAAAGTAGTGATTATGAAGTTCTGAACTTTAGTGCCCACAGGCCTAGTTTGTGACGAGTTTTCATGATTATTCGCAGGTTTTGAGGAAAAGTTTACTTCAAATAAAAAAATGGACAATTTATCAAATACTGATGAAAGTTATGATCTGGGTTATCAACCTTCTCCTTCATCTCTAGATCAGAATGATCGGACTCCGGGGTATTCGACATTCAGCGGTGATTCTTTTGCCTATTGCCGGACTAATTCCGAGACATCAGCCTTTTCTGAGACTATAGATGATCAAAGCTATTCTAGTGAGCCTTCTCCTTCATTCTGGCCGGGCTTGAAATCCGGCGGAGTTCATAGTAGTAACCAAGCTGTTCTTACCAGACTAGGAATGAAGCAGCACAAGAATGTGGCTGACCATGATAAACTCGATGATCAGGAAGCCTTAGATTCAGGTGGGTTTTTGTAGCTTGTCTTGTTTTGAAATTCATTACACTAAAATAGATGGTTATTATATACAATTTGTGTATTATGGCAGAGCTTGAGCTGATGAAGGAAAGATTTGCAAAACTTCTGCTTGGAGAAGACATGTCTGGAAGTGGAAAAGGAGTCTGTGCGGCTGTTACAATCTCCAATTCTATAACCAACCTCTATGGTAAATCTTCTAAAAAAAAAAAAAAGAGGATAAGAAAGTTTGACCCTTTTGCTGTTTTTGTTTCAATCTCATGTTTCTTCTTGTTGTGATATTATATATGTAGCTACTGTGTTTGGACAAAATTTGAGGCTTGAGCCATTGAAGCTTGAGAAGAGAGCTATGTGGAAGAGAGAAATGGATTGTCTCTTATCTGTGTGCGATTACATTGTAGAATTCATCCCAACATCGCAGAATTTACAGGACGGAACATCGTTGGAGGTAAAACTTCAAAGATTCATGAGCTAAAAAATTCCACTTGGTCCTACAATTTTATCTTGTTTTTCGAACCTTTTTTTATTTCCTTTTTTTTTTTTTTGTTCGTCAGATTATGTCAAGCAGACCAAGAGCTGACATTTATATAAACCTTCCTGCCTTGAAAAAGCTGGACATGATGCTTATTGTAAGGACCTCTCCTCTTTTTGCGGAAATACAGTAGCTTAGTCTTATTTCAAATGCTAATGCCAACATGGTTTCTTTGGCAGGAAATATTGGACAGTTTCCAAGACACAGAGTTCTGGTATGCAGAACAAGGAAGCATGTCGTCAAACTCTACTCGTTCGGGGCCTTCAGGATCATTCCGGAGAATTATTCAGCGGAAAGATGAGAAATGGTGGTTACCAATTCCTTGTGTCCCTCCAGAGGGCCTCTCTGAGAAGTCGAGGAAGCATTTGAGACACAAACGTGACTGTGCCAACCAAATCCACAAGGCAGCCATGGCCATCAATAGTAGTATTCTAGCTGAGATGGAAATCCCGGACTCATATATGGCAACTCTTCCAAAGGTTAACCCTACTAGCTGAACATAAATTTTATTTATAAGTTCTATTATGTCTCCAAAATGAAGCCAATGAGCATTTAAAATTGCATCGTTGTAAGTTCAACAGTTCAACAAATACTTAAGGAAAGTCATGAGATTTCAACAGATTTTGAGCTATCTTTTACAATATTATAATAGCCATTGTCTTAATCCAACATATTTTTTTGGCAAAAAACTTTTTGTTCTCAGAGTGGAAAAGCGTGTCTAGGAGATTCGATCTATCGCTACATGTGTTCGGCTGAGAAGTTCTCCCCCGACCATCTGCTTGACTCTCTCAGCATTGCTTCTGAACATGAAGCGCTTGAGCTAGCAGACAGGGTTGAAGCTTCAATGTACACATGGAGACGTAAAGCGTGTATGAGTCATTCAAAATCATCATGGGACATGGTTAAGGATCTCATGTCCGACACCGACAGGAGCGATAAAAATCATGTTTTGGCAGAGAGAGCTGAGAGTTTGTTGTTCTCTTTGAAGCAGAAATACCCTGAGCTTTCTCAGACATCCTTGGACACATGCAAGATTCAATACAATAGGGTAAAGCAAATGTTTCATCTATCAACTTATGTAAATTACAAGAAAATCCATCCCTTTTTTCGGCTGTAATATTACTAAAACGAATCCTAAAATTTTATGCAGGATGTGGGACAATCGGTGTTGGAGAGCTACTCAAGAGTGTTGGAAGGTTTAGCATTCAACATAGTTGCATGGATTGAAGATGTTCTTTTTGTAGATAGATCTGTTAGAAACCGAGATCGTTAGAGATTGCGAATGGGTTTAATTTCGAACGAGGATTATCTTAATCCCACAACCCTTCTCTAACTATCCATTAGACAAAAAGATGCAGATGTTATATAGCTAATTGTCTACTTACCATCATGTGCTTTTTGAAGCTTAATTGTTAATTTCTCGTTTTTATGTTCTTAAACTCTAATCAATGAGACTTTAAGTTTCCTCCACAGTTATCAAAGTTGAGCTTCTACATCATTGTATCAAACATCTTTTTGCTTGGACAAAGCAGTATATAGTTAGATCCTCAATTTTTGACACAAACTCACAAGTCTACAAACAAAGGAATTCCAAGAAAAAGAAGCATTGTAAATGTTTCGGATTCACAAAACACACAGAAAATTGTGTGAACTAACTTCCATACATAACACTGAGAACAATGTCTTTAGATTTTAAGTTGACTGGAATTAAAGTTCTAAATGCTTTCAACTTCAAATTTCACATTTCCTACAAATGCATGATCGGATCTGTCATCCATTGAAATTGTATAATAAAATACCACTAGAAAATTCCATAATAAGGTACTATAAACTACTTTCATTACGAATGTAAATTTCAGACTGGGCCCGATAGGTCCTAAAGGGACGAGGGTCGGCCCAGCCCGACACTGAAGCCCGACAGACTTAGGTTGTCCCGGTCCGATATAAAATTTTATAAAGTATTTTAAAATATAAATATAAATAAAAGAGGAAGTTTAAACCGACCCTACCCAAACCGAATAAGCTTTTGAACTTGAAACTTCGGCTTGACCCAGCCTGTAGGTTAAGGTCAAACCCAGTTTAACAGTGGTGGCCTGGCGGACTTCGGGCCGCTTGTTTAGCCCGACCCAATCTTGCAGCTCCAGTCGAGGGTGATGATTAAAAAGATGGAAATTCTTCAACCTTGGAACAGCATTTTGTAAAGTCACCTTTGCTCTCAACCATGCCTTTTGTCTAAATCTCAAGCGCATCTTCCGACAACGGAATACGGATTCTATATTTCACTGCCTGCAACACCACCCTGCACCGACTCCTCTGCCATTCTGCCTTAACCTATTGAGTTCTCATGTTGGGATTACATTTTTGTTATAAAGGTACTATAAGTTAAAACATCTCATATGATTCCATTGAGAGGCGGAGCTACATTGGGCTCCAAGGGACAATGGCTCTTATTTTTGCCCCTCCAAAAAGAATTTTAACAATTTGTTTTACTATTTGCTCTCCTAGAAATTTTCTAATTGCAATATCGTGGTAGATTATATTATTTTCTTTTAAAAACATAGTTACATCCCAAATTTTCATTTTTTAATTGTACTCATGTTTCGAAGTGAAAACCCCCACAATAGATTTTAGTTTCATTACGCCCTCTGAAAAACATTCCTAATTCCGGCAGTGGTTCCATTTATTATTATTATATGGACAAAAAAACAAAAAACAAAAAACAAAAATTGGTGAATTCTTCTGTTGGCAACTCTACCTATACATGTTGAAAATTGTCATTTTGAACTATAGGCATTGACGGATGCACAGCAAGGCTTAACTAATGCACAAGAAAAGCAAAATTGTGCACACAGCTGCCAAGCCGCACCACTACTGGCCCACCCGCCCATGCCAGCAGCCATCCTTTTCCTTGTTTTGCATGCCACGCCCCGGCTTGGACTTGTGCCCCGCCTGCTCCTGCACAGTCATCAACTATGGCCACCATCCTACTTAGCCGTGTATTTAGATTTCAACAAGGAGTTAGGAGCTCAGAATTATAATTTAATTTTAAAGCCAGACTAAGCTGGATCCAAATAACAGCAGTCAAAGGTATTTTTCGAGTTCGTGTTATATAGCTTATTAGCTATCAGGATTTCCATTCCTTGAGGACCTTAACACAGACACCTACAGGCAAAAATTCTTCAAAATTTGTAACAGCAAAATCGCCAAGTAAAAGAACAGGACGAAACGACTTAAAAGAACATGAACATATAGGCTGCAGCTGACACATCAGAGTTGAAAATGAAAATGCATCTCCGCAGCAAGATATGAGCACACGATATGCAAATCAGACCTACATGTACAAATGTGTCTACATATATATCTGTGTCAGTTATTATATGCAGTGAAGATGGGCAGCAAGAGACTCAACTAGAAATGACAAGAAACAACTACAGGTCATTCTTTAGATATTTTACTTAAATCAATTGATAAAGTGAAACAATTATCTCTATATATACAACAGTGTCCAAACTGCAGACTTGTAAAAGCTTGGACGGGGGATAATCAAAGGGTTAGTAGTCAAGCAGGTCCAAGACTTGGTTGGACGGGCGGCATGGGACGATATCTTCACGTTCTACCTCCAAAACTCCTCCACCCGCCAAAAAATTCCCTCTTCGCAGCTCCTCTATTGTCAAAGAGGAGGTCAACAAAATATGGTGATCTTGACGCCAATTTTGGGCAACAAATGGAAACATTAGATTACCTGCAGAGGGGCTAGCTCACTCCAGAAAAATTGCAGAATGAAGTGAGTGAAGTTAAATTCAGTTGTCATCATCCACAGCCCCAATGTATGTGAGGTCTTTACGTCTCACCCGAACAGCCCCTTTAAGCCAACTAGACGCTCGAAGATTAGCATGGTCTCCACTGCCTATCAAGCCACTGTTACTTGAAGATGGGCCTGATCCAGCACCATCTTCCAGGAGCGTCCATGGGTCAATTTCTGTATCATGGTCCTGTAAGGGCAAGGGCTTGGACTTCCCTGCTGTGTTAGTTGCAGAACGTGCCGCAGGAAAGTGGTTCCTCTGAGACGTGATTAAGTTTCCTGAGTAGGACCCAGGATTTGAGATGACGGGTTGAAGAGATGCAAAAGCAGCATTTGGAATAGAAGGTGGCTGGCAATTTACAAAACACCGTACAGAAGGAAGAAGAACAGGCATTGCCGTTTGAATACGCCACCGAATCATGTCAGGAAGTTGCATACGATCTAAGTCATTCTGCAACCATAGATGAATATGCGTTAGCCAGGTAAAAAGATCTTTCACTTATTCCTTTAGTTTAGATAGTTAAAGATTTGGAAAGACGACCTCTCCATGCCTAACAAAATTTCCATTTAACTTTGAACTACAGAATTTTTTACTTAATTATTTTGATATAGATTTTTTTTAGGGTACCTAATTTGATAGTTAGAGACTGCACAAAAAGGGATCTGACATGTACACAATGTATACAACTAAGATAAAAAATAAATAAATAACACTAATAAACATGACCACCCCCCTTTCTGGCTTTATGACGTAAGGGTTAATTTTTTGAAATCAAAAGCAACACATTTAAGTGACAGAAGGACAGTGATGAACCTGCAAATTCTCTGCCAACTCGCGATCAATTACAGAAATGTCCCTTGTGTATTCATTGGTTGACTTGGGACCAGGCTTTGATCTCAACCAACTTGGTTGGACACCGCTCAATAACACATGCAGAACCAACAATAACCGATCAAAGAGACTTCCACCTGATAAATCCGTAATGATGGCAGATGCAGCGTCTGTCGAAGATTCCACCTCCCTCTTGGACAAATTATGTTGAATATGATTTAAAGAAAGATCTACATCCTCATGCACAACGCGATTTCCTAAAAGACGAAGTATTACAGAAGCAAGTGTATGCCTCATGTTCTTCCCTGATGGTTCCCTGACAAATTCAAGAAATAACATCTTCAATGCGATGTTTAAATTTTTTGCAAATCGTTGCTATTATGCTATATCTACTTCTAATTGTTTATTGAACATATGCCAGAAATACGCTGGTATCAAATTCTAAAACATTTGTTTTTAACATAAACTAATTTCATTGCACGGAAAAACTAAAATAAAATGTTTTCTCCAATGACTTTAATCTAACCAAACAAGTTAGAAAAATGTGGTTTATCCTACTTGGTGGACATACCCATATGAATGGTGAAAAGAACAATCAAATTCAAAGTCCATCAACCAGTGAAAATCAAAACTATATTATTGAATAGCTTACTAGTAAGTATCATTTAACACTAATTATTAAGAAAAAAAAAGGTGAAGTCAAATTAATAGAGCAGTAGTTAAGACCGGAAAAACATTGCATAATTACCCATCAGCATAAATCACTGGAAGCAATCTCAAAAGTAACTGCAATCGCAACAACATAGAAGCTCGCAAAGCAGCAGGGGTAGGCAGAGCAGAATCTGCTGCACTTGTTGTTGTTCGTCTGGCTAATCCAGGACTCCCGCCCTTAATAACTTTGCGATTACTTCCTTTGGTTGCTGGACCCTCAATTCCAGAACTAGTTGGTCCTGCTTGCTTATCCAGCCCACGTGTAATTGTATTAACCTGTTGCTCAATATTATTAAACTGCTTAATTAGATCACTAGCAAAGGTATTGCGAGAGTCATCGGAGCTCTGATCTATGCAAGGAAGAAGTAAGTCAACAAGAGCCCTCTCCGTCACATGCTGCTGGCTAGAACTGAAGCTCTCACTGTGAAACGTTTTTCTACACCTTTTTGAATCTGTTCCCTCTTCAACAACTTCTCCTTCTTCAAGGGAGGCGGACTCAAATTTCTTTTTGTCCCCGCTTATCGCTGGGTGAGTTCCAGAATTAAACCAGCCCCAAGGCTTCCAAAAAGGGGCCTTAGTTGGAAGACCGTCACTCTCAGCTATATTAAGAAGTCGTTGTCTAATAGTTTTCCGTCCCAAAAGAACATCGGCACCACCAAGAAACCACTTGGCCTGCAACAACATAGAATCCTCTAGTGACCTCCCAAAAAGATGAACCACGTCCGAGAAAAGGGAGGCGGCATCAGGTCTGACCAATAACCTTGTGAGGATGATTTGAATAAAATTGTTCTCATTTTCAGAGCCAGCAGCTTTTCCAGGACTGGGTGATGATGAACGTATGGCATCTGCAAGGGACATATCATGGTTCCTAAGCTTTTCAACGAGGGTTTGCTCATTCAAAAGAAGCCGAAGCTCTATCCACTGCCAATGAAACTTTGCAGGTTGAAGGGTATCCAAAACATGTACAAGCTTATTCAAAAGCTTTGATTCCGTCTCTGCAAATTGGGTTTTGGATTCACCTTGTCCTGAGACCCGATTTACGTCCCCTGGCATCTTACAATCAATGACAGCATTCAAGAAAAGCCTTGCTCGTAGAGGAACAAAGGCCTTGGATGTTAAATGCAAGTCAGAACCACTCAACTCTAGCATTGCCGCAAAATCAGCATCACTATTGTCTGCAGCTACAAGATCATAAAGCCCTTGACTTTCTCTCAGACATGCATCTCGAAAAGGTAAGTGCTTTATGGCATCACTAATAGCTGCCATTAAAGACTGATATAACTGATTAATATCTTCACGAATTGAAAGGCTTGCACCCAAAATGAACGGCCTCCATATAACAAAAGCAAATATTGAATAGGCAGGAGGAAATACTAAGGCAACAGGAAGCATTCTCTGCATCCTTGAAAGTGCTACTATAGATGGTTCACCCAAGAGTTCCACAACCAATCCCTCAGTTACTGTTCTGGAGTTGCCCACAAGCAGCCTAAACCAATGAACATAAACTTCAATTAAGTTGTCCATCTTAAAAGCCCCAATTGAACGGGAACTACCATTAGAACTGGATCTTGTGCTCCTTATGAATTGAACTACATCCAATCCTTCCTTCAGTCTGAACACAGTTACCATTCTCTCCAGGCTAGTAACCCCATGAACAACTGCCCCAACAATAAGAGCAGAAACAGCTGCGGCGAATTTAGTTGCTCTTGTGAACACTACTTTTGTGGAATTGTTTAAGCTTTCATTAGACATGCTACTGTTAGAATCATGGGAGTCGGGAGATAACTGAAACTGATTTCGAGATCCCTTTCCAGGAGCAAAGACCCCAGCAAGGGCTGACGAAGCTTCAGTTGCAAGGGCTACCTCAAATACACGGGTTTGGCGCTCTCCTAGTGCTTCCTTAAGTAGGCTTAGGCAACTTATATGGATGCGCAAAACACGTCTAGCAACGTTCAAAGATTCTGTTGCAGACGGAAAATTTGGGTAGCCAATTACTGCTCTAAAGTCTGGCAGTTTTGCAATAGTAGGCCCAACATTACCAACAATGGCAGAAACAGCAGAAGACACCAAAGTTGGGTCCCCTTCTTGAGCAGCACCACCAGTCTGCCTAATACAGTCCATTAGGTCAGCAATCACCCTTTGAGCTACCTGATATCCATCGTCCCACTTTTCTGAAACGGGAGCCTTAGGCGTCCCAGCACCAAAGACCTTTCTCTCCTTGCCAAAGAAATACTGAAGGACATCCTCAGAGTTTAAATTTCGTTGCACTATCTCTCTCATGTTTGCACCCACTCTAGACAAACGGCCACCACTAATTTTTTGACGGATAAAATCATCAAGATCTTCAACTCCTGCAGGCACTCCAAGTGGAAAATTCACCTCCCCATCCCCTGACCTTCCAGATTCAAGTTCAGAAACAAGTCTCTTATCACATGTTGCCTTAAAAGTCTTCTCCCATTCAACAACACTGGCTACATGCCCATATCTTTTCAACAAATATCGAGCATAGACCAGGGCTGATGAACCCGAAACTCTCCCATTAGAGGCCATGACTGAGGCAGCATGGTGCATTGCGGCTGACAATGTTTCTGGAATAAGATCTTGTGCAATAAGTATGTTTTCATACCTGAACCAAATTCATAGTCAGATCCTGGTCTAAATTGCAATGGTCAACCAGATTAAAAGACGGTCTTCAAGCTAAATAACGGAATAAGCAATATTCATTTTGGAAGCATTAAAAACTCAATATATTCAGACTTTAAAGATACATCAAGAAGAGACTGAAATGATGAAAACAAATTATAGGCCATCAATGTTTTCCATACGATATGGCTTAATATGTTTCTTCATTTCGTAAATAATAACATAACAAAAGCTGAATCGAGCAAGAAATATATACATATATTTATATATATATATATATATATTAGAAAAAAGTCATATATGAGTGTTCGCTATAAGGGGAAAAAAACATGCAAGAAAAAAAACAACAAAAGCAGGATAACAAAGATGAATAAAGCAACTCATTCAAACGGACATCTAATACCAAGTAGAATCAAATCCACAACTACAAAGGTAATACCAAAGGAAAACAAAAACCAGTATATTCAAATTTAGTTGAATACAGTGGACTATAAGATGAGTTAGTGCAACTTTCTTGGTGATTTCAAGAGAAGAAAAAAAAAACACACACACACTTGATGATTGAGAATGTAAAGAGAAGTACAAAAAGAAATTGCAAGATCAAGATCAAAAAATGCGCTTAAAGGTCACATCTATCATAGTCCCATTAATGTATGAGAGCAGCAAAATAAACCAACAATCTTTCCACGTTAGTTAGATAAAGAAACGACACAAGTTAATCCCCTATTAAAGTAGGTAGATAGATTGTTTTTTATGTATAAAATCTGAGATGTAAAAGGACAGTTTTTCACCTCCGAAGGGATGATACCAAAAATGCCTCTCCCACTTCACACACTTGACTTTCCACATTTCTTGGCAACAGTAGACTGCTCCTTCCACCATGGATTGTAGAATTGGGGCTACCATGCACCTTTGGCAGTAACCAAAGGACAAATTTGACAGCCAACACTAGATCATTGGAAACATCCATCAGATACAGTATAGTGGATAGTTCGTCCTCACCAAGTTTCCATCGTATGCCATTCCTGTCATCAACAGAAGTGAAAGACCTTCCCATTTGTCCAACCTTGGCTATCGTTTTTTCAGTCTCCTCAACAACCTGCCTAAGAACAGTCATCAACCAAACTGAAACGGTCCTCTTCTCTACAAAACGTAGTCGCTTTAGTTCTTTTCCAATTGAAACAACATCTTGACAGTGGTTTGTTCTGAGCCCATCTGTAGATTTAGAAGTTTCTCCTTCTATTCCATTTCTATGATGAGGGCAGCTTACTTTAATATCACAAACGTGGCTTGTAGAAGCTCCCTGGCTACCCTCAATTCTAGCAGCTTGTAATTGAGCAAGACTTTGAGTCTTACGGACTACCTTCTGCCTATTTTTGGAGACCTGCTTACTTGACTTGAGAGGCGGATCAACCTTAAAAGACTCCAAAGACTTGGTTCCCTTCTTCACCCACCAGGTATCTTCCTCATCTGATAAAGTCGGAGAATGTCCTTGAAGGCCTAAGCTTCTTTCCTCACCCAGCTTTTGTCTCTTTGCTCTTTTACATTCTTCACACCCAGGTGTGCCTTCACCCATATCCATCTTGTTAAAGAGTAAAGCAGAGGATCTCTTAGCATTAAGTTGCATTTCATCCAGGCCTGTATCTGTGGATTTCGATGAAGTGTTGGGAAGCTGCAATAGTATTGAGATTGTTTCCTTGAGATCATCAATACCAATGTCATTTTTCACTTTGTTACCAGAAAATACGTTTGATGATAACTGAATAGACTTCCATTGATCAACTGAAGCTGATGAAGCCCCATCCTTGCCGGAGGTTGGATAAATTGTTTGCTTTGGAGCTAATGTCCATGTTTTGTTCAAATTTTTATTTAGATTGCAGATAAGTCCACTGAGTACTAGTCTCCTTTCATTTGCGTAAACATGCATGGCCTCCAAAAGTTGTGGCCCTTCAGCAAACCCAGCCTCTTGCAGTGCATCACGCACAAAGAACTCAGGCAACTGTCTCAAGATCCTATAGTGCCTCTTTCGCCTATCAGCATCAACCGTGGATCCATTCATTTCCATGATTCCACTAACCATTAGCTGCCTTACATAAGCCTGGGGGTAGAAGATTCCAGCACGTATCAGTTCCACTATGAGTAGCTGAAGACGTTGAAAGCCATCTCCTTTGCATGCTTCATGCTGATCAATCCAACATACTACTATATCATGTAAAGCTCCTGGGCTCTCAAAAATACAAGATGTCTTCATACTTTGTTGATCCACATTTCTTATATTACTCTTTAAGTCGTATAAATCTCCCATGGATGTTCTTGCAAGAAAACTATTCTGTTGACTGGAAGATTTTGTGATAGTTTTAACTCCGAGGGAGTTGTCACTCTTGCATCTACATGAACTTTGCAAACCTTCTGCCTTCAGCTTCAAAATTCGGATTGCAATATACACTTGAGAAAAATCTTTTCTTCCGGTGAATTTCAGCTTATCAGGTGGGGCAGTTCGAAAATCCCTGAAATCACATGTTGCCCACTCACAAAGTAAAAACACAGAGCAAACAAGTGACAAGCTGACAGTCCCAATCCACTTCAATGATGATCTTAAGCAAGGACTGACTTCTGCAATCCAGTGCTCATTGACAGCTCCTTCACAAAGATCTTCAAAGAGGAATGTGTAAGCCCCTCTAACATCTCCCAGTACACGAGATCTATCCAAAGCCTCTACAACTTTAGCCACACTATGACCTGGATAGCCAGGACGTGCAGCTTTTGCAAGACTGTCAGCTCGCTTCTGAATAGATGAAACAACATAGTCTAGGGCTAAGGACTGGTATTGGGCATCAAGACCTTTACTTCTAAATGGAACTGAAATTTCTGATGAACCAATTTTAATCTTTCTGACATCCTCAAAAGATGACTTTGATAAACTTCCATCAGCTACAACATGAGAGACTACACAAGATGGCAATGGAAAGCAATCCAAAGCTACAAATGTATCAGGCACAGCAACTATTAAATATCGAAGCATCTCAACCAATGCAGAGGTTGTGTATGCCTTACGAGAATTATCTACAAGATCTGAGCCACCAGGAGAAGGTTCACGTATGAACCGAACAGCTATGCCAACAAGACTACGCACATATGTTTGGGATAGAACAACAGTTTCCAAAACACCATATATGATTGGCAATAGTAACTGCACGATCTCAAGAGATTCTTTATCCTGACATGTGCACATATGAAGGAAATTATCAGAACTAGAAAGAACACGACCTTTTCAATGAACCTTGAAATAGAATAACTAGTTTAAGTAAGATGACCAAAGACAGTACCTGGAGTTGACGGAGAACCCAGTCAATTATAAGAGAAGGAAGAATTAGTCCATCAGCATAGTGCCACTGCAAGAGCCGCATCATGTACCACCATTTAAAATGTAGAGAAGAATCTTCAATGTCAAGACCAGCTGATACGGGATCACTCCTTTGGTGTACAGACCCAGCATACAGAAATTGTGTTGATCGATCTCTGCTGTGTGAAGTAGAATGGGAATGATTCTTCGCGAAAAACTCATCCAGGAGGTGCTGTAAGTAATCAATTACATCTTTTGTCCACAACTCCGTGCGAGACAACTGAGCTTTATCGGATGTCCCAGAAGAAATATTAACAGAACCAGGTCGAACCTGCAAAATGCACAAACCATTACTTGCAGCCTTCCAATATTAGAAGTTAAAAAAGTAAATATAAATAGACAACATCGAAAACTCTGGTTCTATGGAAGTCATACCTGATTAAGATAAGTTACTTTGATAAACCAGGTTGCTCTAAGCAAGGGAACATTATTCCTTATAATAACCTCAAAAAGGGATCTTTTCCTATAACCGTGAGGAACATGATCAACCAGGGAACGCAATCGCTTGTGCTGTTGTGATAAACCCTGGAATTCAAGAAGAAATTTGAAGATTAAATTTAATTAAGAAAAATCAAATGGACTTCTCAAGTGATGATTTATACAATAGATCTTTTTTCAGTTAAACTTTTAGATGGATGCCCAAGCCAAACACGGATAATTAAACTCAGGTTGTCTGTCAAAGTAGTCTTTTTTCCTGTTCATGCTAAGTTTATTAATAGCTCATTTCAGCTCAAGCAATCTCAAGTCCTCTCCATCCAGTGGCTGGACATGTAACCATTCAACGACATTCATTTCTCAATGATCTTTCCAATAAGCTATTCAGAGTTTACATCTTGATACTTTAAATAAGCATATACATCCATACAAAATATCATATAAATACATAAATAATATATGTATTTATAACTAATATATGTGTACATATATATATATATATATTGCTACCTCTATAAGATGAAAGGCTTACCTCAATCCATTTCTTGCGGAAGTCTTCACCACATGGCCTTTGCTCAGGAAAAACACCTGGCTTGGTTAACAGAGAATCAGCGAGAGGAACACCATAAACTTGACCAGCCTGCCACGGGAAAAAGTAAAATACAGCAAGTTTTTTTTATGATGAGACTTCCCTGTAATAACCTAATAATCGTGCGAATTGAAATATGTTAAACAAATAAGTTGTGCGATGCAACAAAAAAAAAAGGTTGTAGTATAATGAATTTACAATTGAGGGGAAAAAAAAGAAAAAGAAGATGAAGAAACACTTTCAACAAAGAATAGAAGCATCACCTTTCGCTTTTGAGCTCGAGATTCATTTATAGCCCTAAGACATTTCCTGATAGCCTGCAAAAAGGGCAACGACTCAAACTAACATGTTGTATCATGTATCTTAAATATTTATCAATACAAGTTTCAAAAAACAAGACTTTGCATTTCGCCAAAAATAAAAAAGTAACAAAACTGATGATAATTATGCCAAAAAAAAAAAAAAAAGAAAGTGATTTACCTCTTTGCACTTGAAGACAACGGGCTTGGAGAAAGTTGGAGCCTGAGTCAGTGATATCTCTCTAGCTTCCTGGTACACGCAGCAAGTACGACCAAGTCAAGTAACTACTTATGAGGGTAAGGCTATGACCATGAAGCAGCAGGTTAAATAACAATATATCCATAAACCGCAGTAAAATAAAAGGAAAGAATCTTGTGAAAGGGCCGCCAAAATTTAATCATTTCTAAACAGTAAACACTACACTCACAAAGTTACTAGAATTTTTACTCTCAATTTTTTTTTTTTTTTGGGATAAATACTTGTACACTAGAAACTAAAAGGTTTTACTTTTTCACTAGAAATACTAGAAAAATGTACTAAAACTTGCATTTGAACCCAATGAAAATTATTAAGAGCAGAAACAAATAAAAAATTCAAACTGCGATGCTTTTACCAGTATTTTTCTGCATATATATTGGAATCTAAAAATCCTACCTCAAGTCCCTCAATAGTCTCCCTATATCCCGCTTGCACATATTCTTTCGTAAGTGTCTCTTCTGGGCAATTCGGAGTTTGCGGATGAAAGTCAGGTGGACCAAGTCTAACATTGAAGAACAAATGACAATGTTAATGCGACATGAGAACCATACTCAACATATGTACTGATACTGATAAAGAAGAAAATACCCAGAAAGTCAGCAACTTCTCCATCTTAACTAGTTTGGTGTTAAAAGACAATTATCGATTAAAAAATAAGAAATAAAATACAGACAGAATAAAAAGGCATCAAAAAATAAGATACATATCTGTTTACACACAAACATTCTAATTTTCAAGGACTGCAACAAAAAGCAGCACTACGCTTTTAGCAAAATTACCTTGAATTAAGAGGTTCTTTGTCACACTTCAACTTGTAAGGTGTTAATGGAGGTTGCCGCCTGGAAATTAAAAGTAAGTCAAGTTCTATGGGGCAAAAAGAGCAATTTAAGACAAGCAACTTAACAGCTCCATCGGAAGATATAGTTGTATCAAATTATATATCACAACTACATAAAGAAATCTGGCATGAGCAATACACAAAGCAAAACTCGAGGAACATAAAACAAAACTAAACAAGAAATTAAGATATTAGTCAGTTAAGAAAGCTCAAGAAAAAACCTCAGTGACGTACTCCACCATCAAGCAAGTGATATAGTAATTCTTGGATAACAAAAATCAATCGAATTACAAACTTATAAAAAAAAAAAGTTATAAATAAATAGATAAATAAGACAACAAAATTGGAGGCACCAATCTGGATTACTCGTGAGATATATGTTGAACAAAAGACATTATACTTATAATGATGTTCAAAGACCGTTTTCTTTCTCCTTTTTGGTTAGGGGGTATACGACTAGGAAGAGTTGTGCAACATGGAGGATAAAATACTAAAACACAACTTGGAAGTAATTTACCTAGAATTCAAGGAGTAGTTAGCTGGCAAGGAAGATGAATCAGCTCGGGCAGTATCCCTAGCCGATGCCCCCCCAATAGTACTGTTATTAACTGCACTAGTGCAGCCACCAGCATGATACCTTTGCATTTCTCCCAACAATCATCGGCATACTGCCCCCAGCATTGAACTGCTATAAGAAGCTGGAAAAACTAAACTGCATTTGAAGAAACACAGTTACTATTAGCTCTGACCAAATGTAATTCAGCAAAGAAAATTAAAAACCGAATTACTTTAAAAGAAATCGCAAATTATGGATTACATTGGATGTAAACTGAAAGATTTAAATGCATGATAAATGCATCGACTACTTCCAGTCAACTGCCACATGCCAACTTGAGACTGCATCTAACTCGGTATTGAAGAAATGAACATGACATGAACTATATGTCAGATGGCCAGAGCATTAACTGAAAATCACTTTTTAATTGGTAAAATATTTGTATAAATGGAACACAGTGAGCAAAAAATCAATCTTCCTTTCAATAAAAAGTATATGAAGATTCGAAAACTACTACCCGGATATAGAAATGTTCTTGTTTTCTACATCAAACTTTCTCATACTTGCCTACTTGGTAAAAATGACAAAGTTTCTATATAAGAAAATTTATATGAGGTGACGTTACAAATCTCAGGGACCTAAACTGGGGGGAAAAATATATATATATATATATATATCAATCACTTTAGGAACAATACAACTGCACGAGGAAGGAAACTGCATATATGAACAATCATTTAAGGATTTTAAAACCCTAAATCAGGCACCTTGATGCTCACTACAATAAAGAAGTTTAAACAGGAAAGTAACATATCAGAGGAAAAAGTGAACCAACTAGAGAATTTATTAAGTCCCGAAAATGATACACAAATTCACTTATAGGACTAAATTAATCTGAAGATATAAAATGAATGCTAATAAACAAATTTAATCATGTAAAATAGAGTAACAGATATTCAAACTTGTACAGTTTTGAAGAATATGTCTTTTAGTTTACAGCCCATACAGCAGAGAGCCCCAAAAACTAACCAAATTAATTTGATCTGAAAAACTTACTCAAAAACCATTCAAAAACACCCAAAATTCGTACTTTTTCCCACCAAAACTAGCTGCCCAAGCAGCTAAAATCAGTCAAAACCCCCAAAAATCAAAAACATTTGAGCAACCACGAAATGAACCGACCCAAATCTCCCAAAACACCAATCCAGCCAAATACGCTATTCAACCAAAGATGCCCTAATAAGCTGAAATCAAATCGAAGCAGACTGAACAACAAGCAAATCCACGCCACGAATCGTCAAATCTAATTAGGAGAATTGAAGAACGAACCATAGCTAGGGTTTTGAACGAATTCGGGAGTGCGCATCACGGGCGACAAAAGGCGAGCTTTCGCGGAGCTTCAGATTGGGTTTTGAGCATGAAGAGAAGCTAGGGTTTTTGATGTCAACCTGCTAAAATAAAAAGAGAAGGGAAAATAATATAATAACGATAATATTTTGATAGGGGGGAAAGGCAAAAACTTGGGGGCGAAAATGAGGAGAGAAAAAGGTTCAGACTGCGAGAGAGAGAGATATTTGGATTTGAAGAGAGAAACTGGAGAGAGAAAGAGGAATTTGGGAAGAAGAACAAGGGTCTCGGGGTTTGTGCTTTGACTCTTAAAGCTTTGTTGATGATGATGACGACGGCGACGCCTTCTTCTGTTGTTTTGCTTTACTTTCTTTCTTTCCTGTTATTGTTCTTATTATTAAAAAAAATTTAAAAATATATGTCTTAACTCTATTTTTAACACTATTTAGGATTTAGGATAATTGGACAACACTTCAAAAAATTAAAAGAAAAAAAAATTTTGATACATTTTTTTAAGTTTATAGGGGCAAAAAATTGAAAAAATAAATAAATAAAAAACAATTTCGATACATTTTTTTAAGTTGGGGCAAAAACAATTCTGTGATTAAGTTTTGTATTGTTATGCAATGTAACTTAGTTTGCTAAAAATTAAAGTTGGTCAAAGATGCAATCGGGATAAGGAGCAATCAATTTTGCATAATAGAGAATGGGGATGAGGTGCAATCAATTTTAAGAAGTAGAAATCCATCAAGGTGTAAACTCTCAAATAGAGGTGTCAAACGTGCCGTGTCGGGCACGGCACGTCCGACCTCAGGCTCGTGGCGGGTTTGGGCCGTGTCAAGGCCGGGCCTGAGGAAAAAATCTCAAACCCAGTCCAAGCCCGTGGCCCTAGTCTATAAGGGTCAGGGCCGGGCCTGGGCCCAGGCCCTTAACGGGCCGGCCTAGGCCTAGGCCCTTCACAGGCCGGCCTTGGCCCTTATAATTTTTTTATAAAATTTAATTAAAAATATATCATATGCTCTTAAAAGATGTGATTTTATTGAATTAAGATAATACGAATAAGTACACATAAATGACTGGCTCGTTAAAAACCTTGCCAAGTAAAACCGTGGGGAGATCGGGACAAAACCTTAGCGAAGGAAAAAAGAGTGCAGTATTCTAAGAATAGTAAATTATCAAACCTAAGTGTTTCTAGAAGATTCTGTTATTTTTAAGTTAGAAAAATAGTCTTGCATTAAATCATCTGTGTATTGTTGTTTTCGCCTTTTGACATCTTCTCAGTCTTTAACGCACATTAGCCCCTCTAAGATATTTGGATGCATTCTGCTTCTCTTCTCGTCAAGAATTCAATTGCTTGCACTACATGCTTGCTCTGATGCTACTGTTGACACTGGAGTTGTCAGAATGTCACGAGCTATTACGGACAGTGTTGGAAAATAATCGGTCTTGCTCTTCCAACACTGTAAGATGTCCAGTTTGTCGTCATCGATTACAAAATTTGCTTCAAAATATTTTACCAGTTCGGTAGACGCTTGTGTTGATGATGATCCTGCCGTTTTCTCTTTCTTCTTCAAGAAACTCCACGACGAGCCTTTAGGCCCCAAACTGCTAATTGACGTTGAAGTTCCCTGTTCTTTTTTACCTGTGCTATATTTTGCTTCATACAAACCAAATACCTTTTCTAACATTTTCCTATCGTCAGTAATAGTTAGTTGCATATCAATACATGAATTTTCTGTTGTAGCAGTCATCAAAGATTCAGTCTCATCTACTCTGCACCTAAGATCTAAAATGGTTGTTAATGCTTATAAATAGGACAACCTGACTAATAACTTTTAAATTTAGTTTTCATTAGCTTAACTATGTGTCTAAAAAGTATTGTATCCTTATAATAAGAAAATGTTTCTAAAATATTAAATAGTTGATGTAAAGCTAAATGTGCAGTAGGATAATAAACTCCGGAAAGTAATTCAGTAGCATTGTAAAAAATTTCTAGAAATTTAAAAAAAATACTCACCAATCTGCCAATCTGTATCGAAAATTAAAAGTTGATTGTTCTTATTATTTACATATGTTGTGATGAGCTGTGAATACGGGAGTGTAGCCTTCAACATTAAATTGGTGGAATTCCACCTATGTCTCACGTTAGTTGAGAACTTTCTTAGGCGCATCTGACTGTTCCTACAATATTATTTGAATTCTTGGAGTCTGCCAATCAGGATCGAAAATTAAAATTTGATCGTTCTTACTGTTTACGTTGTCGTGATAAGCTGTGAATATGAGAGTGCTGCCTTCAACATTAAATGTGTTGAATTCCACCTATGTCTCACGTCAGTTGGAAACTTTCTTGGGTACATCTGGCTATTCCTGCAATATTGTTTAAATTCTTGGAGCCGAGCTCCAGAACTAGATATGAAGGATAAAGATTCTCTAATATTTGTTAGATTAACTGAAATATGTTCAATTCCTACCTGAACTACTAAATTGATTATGCGATACGCACACCGTTGATGAAAAATTTCTCCTCCAAATGCCGGTTTCAAACTACGTTGAAACAGATTAATTGCAGCTGTATTAGCTGACGCATTATTAAAAGTAATTGTTAAAACTTTATCTTCTATCCCATAAAACCCAAAAATTTCCATTATTGTACCAGAAATAACTGATGTGTTATGAGGATATGGACATAAATGAAAACCTATTATTCTTTTTTGTAAAACCCATTCATCATCAATATAATATGTCATGATGCATAAACATCAAGTTTTATTATACTCCTCCCATATATCAGAATTATAAGATACAGTAGCATTAAAAGTTCTAAAATTATCATCAAGAAATAGTCGCATTGCATAAAACACTTTCATGTAATCAAAACGAGTTGTGTTTCTACTTACCCATTTAAATTACGGGCAAAAGATCGTCTGTATGAATTCTTCGAACGACGCATCATCTGTAAAAGAAAGAGGTAATTCGGCACTAGCTAGAAATTTAGCTAGTGCCTCACGAGCACGTTGTGCATCGTATTTAAATTTTTACAACCCTTGTGATGTGAGTGATAATGTTTGTTGGCGGGAGTCCACACTCCCACCTTGGTGCAACGGTAGATATACTTTTCAATGTCTATCTAGATGACTAGTACCCCCACCCTTTTTATTAGAAAAGTGTTTTTTATAATACTTACATACCGCACGAATTTTTATTTCATCTGTTTTTAGATTTGGCCGGGGCTCTTCTGTGAAATGTTGCCATGCAGGTGAAGTTCACAGTCTTTTTTCCCTGGTCCGTTCTCCAACTTCCTCGTTGTGCACTGAAGCATTATTAACCGGAGCATTTTCTGGTTCAATGGGGGTGGGGTTGGAAGGCATCATTTCATCCGCAAAAAATGGCTCATCACCAAGCTCAGGAAGAGTAGTGAAATCGGGAAAGTTTGATGCGGCCATTTTCTAGAAATTGATTGAACTTAAACTTTGTAAATGAAAGAGTAAGAAAATGAGTGATCGCGAGAAAAAAGCTTAGAATCAAAATCAAAGAGACAAGATGAGAGATAGAATGAGAGTGAGATGAAAAGTTGAGAGTGAATTATTGTGTGAGATTTAAGATGAAATTAAGGGGTATTTATAGGGGATTTTTTGGATTTTTCGGATTGTGACCGTTGGGCCCGCGAAGGGCCCAATGATCACAATCAGAATGGGCTGAAGGGCTTTTTCGCGGGTCGTTTCGCTGGCCTGGGCCGGACCGAACAAGAGCCGAATCCGGGCTTGGGCCAAGCCGCGGGCCTTCACGGGCTAGGGCCGGGCGTGGCCCGTGGGCTGAGAAGCCGAGGCCCAGCCCTAGCCCATCAAACGTGCCGGGCTAGCACGGCCCATAACAGTACCGTACCGGGCCGTGCTGAATCCGGTACTGTTACGGGCTAGGCCGGTCCGTCCATGGACTGCCCGGCCCATCTGATACCTCTCAAATTGAAGTAAGAATTTTAGGGGTGAATTTTATAAATTTCCCTAAACTTTTACCCGAGTAACAACATATTTGTCGAATTTTAATTTATATTGTTTTGTTATTTCAAACTTTGAAATTATACTAAAATTTAACTTTTAAATATGTTTTCTTACGGAAATGTTACGTGCCTCTCATTAGAAGGGAGCAGTTTATAAAATGACTATTTTGTCCTCTCAAGGTACGAATGCGTGAGATTATAAGAACTTGTTGAGAGTTTTAACGCCCGTTTGGTTCAACGATTTAAATTGTTGATTTGATTTGAGTTGTGGTGATTTGAATTGTAGTGAATTAAACTGTGATTCAAACCAATGTTTAGATACGCAAATAAATTGTAATTTCAATTAAGAATAAAATATAAACTGTGTTTGGATAAAGTGTTGAAAACTGTTATTAGAGTTTTGTAACAAATCTTATAAAATCTCATTGTAAATAACATCTAAAAATATGTAATATGGCTGGGGATTTGTTCATTTCTTTATTATGAATACATTAAAAAAAATTGTCCTAATTAAAATTAAAAAGAAGATTATAATATTTTTAAACTTAAAGTTGAAGAGAGAGAAAAAATAAATTCTTTTGTATTTTAATAGTCGAATTCATGGGGGCCAGGGGGTCAAATTCTGAAGGGAGAAAGAGGAAAATAGACCAAGACTTAAGATGAATTAAAATTTATAGGCTAATAGTTTACATAAATTAATAAATAGGCTAAATTACTGTTTTCGTCTATAACTTGTATGGTTATGAACCATAACTTGACAAGTTATTCACGGTTTTTGTTCATAACTTATCTGACTATGAACCATAACTTGATAAGTTTGTCCATAACTTATCTGGTTATGAACCATAACTTGACAAGTTATGGCCTATTAATTTCTATAACTAAAAATTGACCTATATACTTTCTTAAACTTTTCATATTGTCATATTTTCTACTATTTTTCAATTTTGAATTGGGCCTTCTGAGTGCCCTCTTTAATTTCCCAACCAAACATGTTTTTGAACATTTGAATTTAACTCAAAGGTTTGAGTTGCTCAAACAAACGGGGGGGCTCAGGTTATTTTGAGGCATCTTCTCTTTTCACTTTAGTGTATTGTCATTGCTATAAATGTTCTAGGAGATTACATTTGCAGGATAAATTTCTTGAAAATTATTTGTAATCTACCATTGACAATGACACATGAGAATGAATATTTATATTTACTTATAATTCATATGGTGAACGTACGTTATTATATTTGTTGAGGAGCCCATTTAGTATTGCTTTTAGTTATTTTATTTTTTTTTATTTTTTATGAAGCAACAGTATATCAGAGTGTTATAGTGTCTCTAAACATTCCTACAACATACAAAATATAAGAAACAGGT